TAAATCAATTGCAGAATAACGAAACAATTTGATTTAAAAATGGGTAGAGGATCTGAATAGACATTTTTTCTTTTTCTTTCTTTCTTTTTTTTTTTTTAAGATTTTATTTATTTATTTGACAGAGAGGGATCACAAGTAGGCAGAGAGGCAGGCAGAGAAAGAGGGGACACAGGCTCCCTGCTGAGCAGAGAGCCCGATGTGGGGCTCAACCCCAGGACCCTCAGATCATGACCTGAGCTGAAGGCAGAGGCTTAACCTACTGAGCCCCCCAGGTGCCCCTGAATAGACTTTTTTCCAAAGAAGACATACAGATGGCCAAATAGGTACGTGAAAACACAAAAAAATTGGGAAATGGAGGAAATCCATCAGATGAAATAATCACCTCACACCTATTAGGATGCAATTATCAAAAAGACAAGAGATAACAAGTATTGGCCAGGATGGAAAGGAAATTCTTGTGTACTATTGGTGGGAATGTAAATTCATGCAGTCAGTATAGAAAAGAATATGAAGGTTCCTTCAGAAATTAAAAATAGAACTGCCAAGTGATTCAGCATTTCCACTTTGGTATTCATCTGAAGGAAACAAAAACACTAAAAAAGATACCTGTACCCTCATGTTCATTGCATCACTTATAATAGCCAAGATAGGGAAACAACCCAAGTATCCATACATAGATGAATGGATAAGAAAATGTGATACATGTACTGGAATATTATTCATCTAATAAAGTTTGAGGAGTGCCTGGGTGGCTCAGTTGGTTAAGCATCTGCCTTGGGCTCAGGTCATGATCCCAGGGTCCTGGGATCAAGCCCCAAGGCAGGCTCCCTGCTCAGTGGGGAGTTCCTTCTTTTTTTCTCTCTTCCTCTACTCCTCTCCCCAGCTTGTGCTTGCTCTCTCCCTCTCTCTCTCAAATAAATAAATCTTTAAAAAAAGAATAAAATGTTGCCATTTGTGAGAACATTGAGGGGCTTTAAGATTATTATGCTAAGTGAAATAAGTTAGGAAAGGACAAATACTGTATGATCTCAGCCTATATGTAGAATCTAAAAAAGCCAAAACCAAAAAATGACAAAGCTCAAAGATAGAGATCATATTTATGGTTGCCAGAGGCAGGGTGCTGGGGATATGTCAAAAATAGGTGCAGGGAGTGAAAAGGTACAAAATTTCAGTTTTCAGTTCATCACAGGAATCTAATGTAGAGCACGCTGAGTATAGTTAATACTTAATTGCTTTTTTCAAAGTTGCTAAGTGGTTGAATCTTTAAAGTTTTCATTTAACAAAAAATCTGTGGGGTGCCTGGCTTGCTCAGTCAATGGAGCATGAGATTCTTGATCTTGGGGTTGTAAATTTAAGCCCCATGTTGGGGGTTGAGATTACTTAAAAATAAAATCTTTAAAAAAATTTGTAAGTATGTATTGTAATGAATGTTAACTAGATTTAATTGTGGTGAACATTTCACAATATATACAAATAATGAATCATCATAGTTTACACCTGAAAGTAATACATTCTATATCAATTCTATATCAGTAAAAAATAATAAAATCCCATATCATAGGCTCCAAAGAAAATGTACCTGATATGATGACATTCAAACCCAAGTGAAAGAAAACATTGAAGTGTGATGCTGTGTACTTTATTAACAGTATGTAAATTTTGTAAAGTTAATAGGACCTTTTCCTGAATGTCTGTACCCACAATTCTCTTTTTTTTGAAGATTTTATTCATTTGAGAGAGAGAGTGAGGGTGTGTGAGAGAGAGAGAGGAGAGAGGGAGAGAAGGAGCAGGGGGGAAGGGGAGAGGGAGACATGGGTGTCCGACCCGGCTCTGAGATCATGAATGACCTGAGCTGAAGGCAGATGCTCAACCAACTGAGCCATCCAGACACCCCTGTACCCATAATTCTTAAATTTTAGAGAAGAATGAGAACTATGGACTTAAGTTAACTGGACCTTGATAGAAAGTATCAATGGTGTGCTGAGACTTAAGGAGGGGCCTTGATGTTAGGCTGTAAGATTCCACCCCTCATTACCAACTGGGAAGGAAAGACCTACTTAGCCATATCACAGGATGTTGAGAGATGGGAAAATTTGTTGAAGTCAGCTTTCCGATGGCTAAACAGAATCCTCAAATTGCCAAAAACAAAAGAGGGACCTATAAATCATAGGCTTTATGGTGATAGGATTAATTGCCTTTCCTAATGGTCAAAAGGCCAAAATCCAACACACTCACACATACTCAAGCAAAAGACAAGATGTGCCTCTGAGATTATTATTTTCTTTTGGTAATGGGTCAATTGAGATATTCACATATCAAATAATTCTTCCATTTGAAGTATATATTGAGTAAATTAAGTTTATTCAGAGTTGTACAACCATCACCACTTCAATTTTAGAACATTTTTTACCAACTCAAAAGGAAGCCCCCCCCTTTTTAAAGTTATTATTTATTTGAGAGAGAACGTGTACACGGGGGGAGGGGCAGAGGGAGCAGGCTCCCCACTGAGCGGGGACCTGACACAGGGCTCCATCCCAGGACCCTGAGACCTGAGCCCAAGGCAGACGCTTAACCAACTGAGCCAGCTAGGTACCCAGGAAGCCCCTTAATTTTTATTACCTTCAGTCCCTCTCTTTCTGCCCAGATCTATGCAACAGCTATGTTTTTTCTCTATGGGTTTTTATATTTTGGACAGTTTGTTTAAATGGAATCTTCTAATACGTGATCTTTTTGACTGGCTTCTTTCGCTTAGGTCATGTTTTCAGGGTTCTTTCATGTAGTAGGTATTATTACTTCATTCTTTTACTTTTTGGATTGACATTCCATTGTGTGGAACATTTTGTACACTTCCAGTACATATATCACATATATCACAAAATGTGGAACATTTTGTTATTCATTTATCAGTTGATGGGCATTTTGGCTGTTTTCACCTTTTGGCTGTTATTAATGTTGCTATAAATATTCATTTGTAAGTTTTTAAGTAGGCATATGTTTTCATTTTTCTTTTTTTAGAAACCTTTTTTTAAAAAAGATTTTATTTATTTGAGAGACAGAGATCACAAGTAGGCAGAGAGGCAGGCAGAGAGAGAGGGAGAAGCAGGCTCCCTGCTGAGCAGAGAGCCTGATGCAGGGCGTGATCCCAGGACGCTAAGATCATATCCTGAGCCAAAGGCAGAAGCTTAACCCACTGTGCCACCCAGGCACCCTGTTTTCATTTTTCTTAGGTGTATATCTAAGAATAGAATTACTGGGTCAAATGGAATGACCAGATGATGACCAATGTGTTAGGCTTTATTTCAGATGCATTTTGCCCATTTGAACATCCTTGAAGAAATGTACATTGAGGTCTTTTGCCCAGTTTTTAAGTGCCTTTGGAATTTGTTTTTGATTAGATGTGGTGGTAGATACCTGCAGACAGCCTGCCTAAAGTGTAGCTGCTCCTAACAATTCCCAATGTATCATCCGGCAGCTGAAGAAGTAAACAAAGATTATAAACCCTTAGTATCCATTTCTCTAGCCACTCAAAATACAGAGGCAAGTCAGCGCTCAAATGGGAAATGTCAAGTAGTATCCACTCACTTTGTTCTTAGGAAATACTGAAAATTGCTAGATCTACTCCTGTGAACATATAGTGGCTCCAAATGAGAACACAGATACAGTATTGAGTGTTTTCATCTTCATTTAGGACTTACCCAAACATACTGTCATGAAACGAATTAATAAGAAAGTGGAGAGAAGTTCACTTAATAAGAATTAATTTGGGAAATACAGGAACACACTCTATAAAACCTGCTCCGGCTACCAGATGAAAACTTGGAAGAAAATTGAATGGGAGAAAAGAGAGCTGAGAGAAAGAAACTGATTCTTGTGCTGAGAACTACATTGGAAGTAAATAGGAGGTGAATGGAGGACAGTCTTGAGAAAAATCACCTACAAGAACAAGTGAAAAGAATAATCTGGAAGACCATAAAGAGTCAATATATGATTTTTGCAAAAATAAGAACAAAAACAAGTGAAGAAGAAATGATAGGCAACTATAGAAAAGAGGATAAAGTAGAAAACCTGAATTTACATATCAAAATATTTAAGTTTATTTCACAATTCCCACTTTTGAATATGGAGTTATTTCTGTGTTTTTTAATAGGCGGCTGGGCTTTGTCGTCATTTCTTGCTATATCAGGTTCAACTCTTGAAGTCAGACTGCTGGTATAGGGAAAAAGCATATTTTAAAATATGCTTTGTCAAAGTGATTTTATAGGTAAAAATGTTATCCCATTGGTTTAATTTATATTTGTCTTTCTCCTAGTGAGATTATTATTTATTTACATTTGAGTTTTTAATTTATGTCTTTTACTTTTCTCTTTTTGGTTTTCATTTTCCCTTGTCATGTTCATGGTAAAAAAAAAAATCTTTATCAGGAGCTCCTGGGTGGCTCAGTGGGTTGGGTCTCTGCCTTCCGCTTAGGTCATGGTCTCAGGGTCCTGGATCAAGCCCTGCACTGGGCTCTCTGCTTAGCAGGGAGCCTGCATCCCCCTCTCCTTCTGCCTGCCTCTCTGCCTACTTGTGATCTCTCTCTGTCAAATAAATAAACAAAATCTTTTAAAAAAAGAACTTCATCAGTTTATTTTTTCTCTCTTATAAAGTCTTTTTTGTATAAATATTCAATTTTTTATGTGTTTATATTTGCTTATTTTTTTCTATTTGCTTAGAAAATTCTTCACTCAGTAATCCATTAAATATCTATATTACCTGCTAATATTTTATGGTCTTAGTGTTTACATTTAAGTAAGTAATTCATTTGGAGTTTATTTTGGCTTTTGGTATGGAGTAAAGATCTGATTTTATTCTTTTAACAAATAACCAGTACTTTCAGTGCTTTCTCTTAATTACCTTTTCCTATTGTTGGTGGTATTTCATTTTGCATATTTTAAGCAATTTTTGTCTTTATATTTTAATTAAATGTTTACTGTGATCTGATAAACTCTTTTTTATTTTAGAATAAGGAGAGTTTATCTTCTGTTATTACTGACCTCAACATAATAATGGAGCCCACTGAATATTCAGAATTAAGTGAATTTGTGTCTAGGTAAGATATTATAAATTTTAATTTTTATTGTTTTCACTCTACATTTTTAAGTTTACCCCTTTTTTTGGTAAGTAAGTATCAAAATATCTCTGAAAGTGTAACATTAACATTATATGGTTTATATTCATAATCATATATATGGCTTATGTATTAAGTCCATATTCTCTATATAATTTTTATATAATTTTTTCATCCAATGAAAATGTAATACATTTCATCCAATGAAAATGTAATACATTCATCCAAAGAAAATGTATTACACATTAACTATGTTAATGTGCTAGACATTCAAATGTGACGAAGAACAGATAAAATCTTTGATACTCAAGGAGTTTCTAGCCTATTGAAGTCGTAAGTTAAATAATGGTAGAAATAAATCTAAAATTGTGGCTGTGCTCAGTGCTGCAGAACAGAGTTACATAATGCTATTGAAGCATACATCAGGAGCCTGACTTTCATGGAGAGCATGGAATCATTTCCTGAAAATTGAGCCAACATCTGAAAAATGTGTAGGTGTAAACTAACAAAGAGGTCCTCGACAGAGCAGTTATGTGTAGGCACCGTGCAAGGAGGGAGTGTGCTGTCTGTGAGCAGCTGACAGGAGGCGAGTGTGACTGGAGCAGGGTGCAAGCTGGGGCTTGTGCTTTGGCATGAGGCCTGCCAAGTACGTGAGGTCCATGTGGTGTGGAGTTTGGTCATAGGCCTGAGACCAATGTAAAGCTAATTAAAGCCTAAGGAAAGCAGAAGTGTGATACACTGGATGCTTCAGGGAGAAGAGCCTGAAGGGGGGCAATAGTAGATACAACAAGGTCAGTGATTAGCCTGTAAAAATAGTTCACACAACAGAAATTTCTAGGTTGAACTAGAATAATTAGCTGAGATAGAGAGCTGGAGATGATGAGTGCCTGTGAAACCCTGAAGTAAAAATATGAGGTAGGCAGCTCAGAAGAGTGTAGGTAGGAGGGGGAGCCCCTGAGTTTTCTGCCAGTGGGTAGAAGTTAAGGCCTTGGGCTTGAGGAATGAGATTGTTAATGGAGAGAATAAAGAGAAATAGGGGAGGAACTAGCAATGGACCGTGTGGAATTCAGCTGTACTGCGGAATGGGGAGAGGGTCCTGCAGAGGAACTGGATGGGGAACAACTATGTGAGGGAGGAGGAAAACTGGGAATGTGGTGTTGACCACTGACAGCGGGAGTGACAGCTTTTCTTCCACATCTTTGAAGATATTCTTCCAGTTGATTCTGGATTACATAGGTCATGACAAGAAGTCTGCTGTAATTTTTCATTTTGTTTTTTGGACTGCCTTCAAACCTTTCTCTTAATGTTGTTTTTCTACAGTTTGTGTTATTTCTGAGGTATTTTAGTGTGAATATTCCCTAAGACATCTTTTCAAATACCTCTGCCCTGTTTTCTATTCTTCTTCTTCTGCAGTGCTAATTGCACATATATTAGGGCATTTGGTATGTTCTCTCAGGGTTTGGATGCTTTGTTCTCTTTCTTTTATCCTTTTCTTTCTTTATTTTCTTTATTTTTTGCATTTCAGTTTGGATAATTTCTATTTCCCTATTTACAGATTCTTTCCTTAGCTGAAATCCAGCCTGACAGTTAGCCCATTGAAGGAATTCATCACCTCTAATGTCATGTTTTCATTTATAACACTTTCATTGGATTCTTAATTTCTTTCTCTCTCTCTACTGAAATTCCCCATTTATGTATTTGTATAACTTTTCCACTAGATCTTTTAATATGTTATTCATAGCTACTTTTTTCTTTAGTGTTTCATTTTGGAGGTTTTCATATATATATATATATATATGTATATATATATATATGTAAAAATAATAGTGTAATTAACCAGCTGTACACCTTCGATAATTACTGATATCAATGTTATTTCATCTCTTGTTAACACATATTTTTAAAGTTTTAATTTTGAAAGAATTATAGATTCACAGGGAGTTGTAAATAAACCAATATACAAGGAGATTCTATATACCCTTCATCCAGCCTCTGACAGTGGTAACATCTTGTATCAGTAAAATGTACTCTCATATCCAGAAAATTGATATAAGTAAAACCCAGACCTTTTTCAGATACCAGTTTTATAAGCACTTGTGTGCGTGTGTTCTATGCAATTTTATCACCTCTGTAGCGTCGTGAAACCACCACTACATTCAGGATACAAGACTGTCCTATATCTTTTTTCTCCTCATTTTAAAAATTGTGGTAAAATATATGTATAATGTAAAACTTACAATTTTTTAAAAAAAGATTTTATTTATTTATTTGTCAGAGAGAAAGTGCACACAAGTAGGCAGAGTGGCAGGCAGAGGCGGAGAGAGAAGCAGTCTCCCTGCCGAGCAAGGAGCCCAGTGTGGAACTCAATCCCAGGACCCTGGGATCATGACCTGAGCCTAAGGCAGCGGCTTAACCAACTAAGCCACCCAAAACTTACCATTTTTAAGAGTACAGTTCAGTACTATTAAATATGTCAGAATGTATTTAACTGTGTACACCAAGATCTATCTTCATAACCCTTTCATCTTGTAAAATTGAGAATCTGTATGCATCAGTCACTTCCCATCTTCCCCTCCACTCAGCCCCTGGTACCCTCCATTCTTATTTCTGTCTCTGTGACTTATTTTTATTTATTTTAAAAAATATATTGTTTATTTATTTTTAAAAAGATTTTATTTATTTATTTGATAGAGAGGGATCATAAGTAGGCAGGGAAGCAGGCTCTCTGCTGAGCAGAGAGCCGGATGTGGGCCTCGATCCCAGGACCCTGAGAGATCATGACCTGAGCTGAAGGCAGAGGCCTAACCCACTGAGCCACACAGGTGCCCCAAGATTCTATTTATTAATTAAAGAGAGAGCATGAGCAGGGGAGAGGGAGAAGCAGACTCCCTTCTGAGCAGGGAGCCAGACATGGGGCTTGATTCCAGGACCCTGGGATCATGACCTGAGCCGAAGGCAGACACTTAACTGACTGAGCCACCCAGGCATCCCTGTTTGTGACTTTTAATCATGGTTATTTTAATGTTCCTGTCTGATAGTGCCAACATCTAAGTCATCTTTGAACTTGATTATGCTGATTCTGGAGTTTTTTCCTGAATTTTTGTGTGTCATCATTTTTTTTTAATTGAATGATGGACTTTATCTGTGGAAAATCGATAGAGACTCAAGCAAAGTGTTTATGTTGAAAAGTGAGCACGTGTCTTTTATCATCCTGTTAGGATGGGGTTAATGCAAGGTCATTAGCCACTGAGCTGTGTTTGAGATTTTTATTGTTTTCCTTATCTTCAGGCTTCACATCACCACAGGCTTCAAATTCTTGCAGCTATGGATTCAAATTCAAGTTCATTTGTTCCTTATGCTTAGAATGGGGTTTTGGGAACTGGAGGGTTCTCCTCAGTGTCCCTGATCCACTCAGCTTTCTGCCTTTCTGAGGTGACCCTTTCCCCACACTCTTGACACTCCCCCAGTAGCAGTTGTAGATGCTCGTTACTTGTGCCCTGCTTGTGTCCTGAATAATGGGAGTTCTGTATTTTCATGGTCCGTCTTCAGTATTCGGCAATCTTGCACCTCAGGGTGTGGGCTCCCCAGTGTTCCTGTTCCTCCTCCTCAGTACAGGCAAAGCTAGCCTGGATCTGGGGTTGGTCTTGTTCTCCTAGCAGGGGTAGCAGGTGAACACTTGATAATGGTGTAGGATCCTGGGCCCAGTGGGTTTCCTGCCCCTCCCATGGAACAGGCAGTTTTGCCACTGCCCCTCTTCCTGCAGCAGTGGACCTTTGTCTTGATAACAGGAGTGTTTTCTCTCCCTCTACCAAAGTCAACTTCTGCTTCTCCCTTAGAAGCAAGGGATTTTTTTCTTCCATTGCTTTGTTGCCTCTTTTTTCAGTGGCTCAGGGATTTGGGTTCCCATCAGAAAAGGGTTCTGGTTTCATTTTCTTCCCCAGCAGTGCTGACCACCTCCTCATGCCTGTGCCACTGACAGGACCCTGGTTTTTCTGGTGGCATCCTTTTGTGTCTCGGGTTCTGATCTGTTCCAAAAGCACACTCTATCCCACATTCGTCTCTAAGAATTTGTTGAAATTTTAGCTGATTTCTTGTTACCTACTTGTATGGGGGCTGCTTTCTTCCCCTAAGTTTACCCAAGAGTGAACAGTTTGTGTCATGTCTTTCCTTTGAGGGAGAAAAATCTTATTTGGTTGCCTTGTGACTTTGGGTCTCTAATGGACTTAAGGAAGGTTATGACTTATAGATTATTCAAATTTGCTTGGTGTTAGGTAACGATGGTCTTCTCTGCAGCTCTTTACATTCCAAGTAGAAGCCAAGCTCTTTCCTTATTTTTTTTTTTTTTCTAATTCTCATTCCAGAATTTAGGACACATTGTCTATTCATCTCCTGCATCTGTTTTACCCTTTCTTTTTTTCTTTTTTTTAAAGTTTTTTTTTATTCATTTATTTGAGAGAGAAAGAAGGAGGGAGAGAGAGAGCAAGCAAGGGGAAGGGGCAGGGGCAGAGGGAAAAGGAGACTCCCTGCTGAGCAGTGAGCCCCACATAAGGCTCAGTCCTAGGACCCTGGGATCATGACCTGAGCTGAAGGCAGACCCTTAACTCACTGAACCACCCAGGAGGCCCTGAATATTTTTAAATATTTTTTTGTAATTGGATTATTTTTGTTATATTTTTTACATATTACATAAATATATATATTTCTTCTTTGCTTCTGGGTCTCTGATTACATGAATATAAAACTTTTTGGCATTGTCCCATGTGTCTCTGAGGCTCTGTTCTTCTTTTTTTTTTTTTCCCCAATCTTTTCCTTCTGTGTTGTTCAGATTGGATGGTTTCTGTATGCTTACCACCACAACGAGGTTACTGAACAGCTCCAACAGCACAAAAATCCTGTGTATTATCCCTATATGGTCACAATCCATTCCCCACCCCGCCGCAAAACCTGCTATGATCATCACTAGGGTTTTGTGCCTCTTACAA